ACACACTGTTGCTGGTATGTTGGCCCATTGCTCCATGCAGATCTCCTCTAGAGCAGTGATGTTTTGGGGCTGTCGCTGGGCAACACGGACTTTCAACTCCCCCCAAAGGTTTTCTATGGGGTTGAGATCTGGAGACTGGCTAGGCCACTCCAGGACCTTGAAATGCTTTTACGAAGCCACTCCTTCGTTGCCTGGGCGGTATGTTTGGGATCATTGTCATGTTGGAAGACACAGCCACGTTTCATCTTCAATGCCCTTGCTGATGGAAGGAGGTTTACACTCAAAATCTCACGATACATGGCCCCATTCATTCTGTCCTGTACATGGATCAGTCGTCCTGGTCCCTTTGTGGAGAAACAGCCCAAATGCACGATGTTGCCACCCCCATGCTTCACAGTAGGTATGGTGTTCTTTGGATGCAACTCAGCATTCTCTCTCCTCCAAACACGACGAGTTTTGTTTCTACCAAACAGTTCTATTTTGGTTTCATCTGACCATATGACATTCTCCCAATCCTCTTCTGGATCATCCAAATGCTCTCTAGCAAACTTCAGACGGGCCCGGACATGTACTGGCTTAAGCAGGGGGGCTTGTCTGGCACTGCAGGATCTGAGTCCCTGGCGGCGTAGTGTGTTACTGATGGTAGCCTTTGTTACGTTGGTCCCAGCTCTCTGCAGGTCATTCACTAGGTCCCCCCCGTGTGTTCCTGGGATTTTTGCTCACCGTTCTTGTGATCATTTTGACCCCACGGGTGAGATCCTGTGTGGAGCCCCAGATCGAGGGAGATTATCAGTGGTCTTGTATGTCTTCCATTTCTAATTATTGCTCCCACAATGGATTTGTTCACACCAAGCTGCTTGCCTGTTGGATTTTTTTTTTCATATTGTCTCTCATAGTTGAGGTCTACCTATGATGCCAATTACAGGCCTCTCTCATCTTTTTAAGTGGGAGAACTTGCACAATTGGTGGCTGACAAAATACTTTTTTGTTCCACTGTATATTTTTTACCTATGCCGGGTGCAAGGATTTTTTTTCTACACTGCAAAGGTGCATTTTACTACCACCTCCCATCCTGGTGCCCTAAAGCAGCTTCCTATACAGCTTTATGCTGGTACTGGCCCTGGCCTCATTCACACTAAGTCTTCATGCATACTGGACTTTTTACAGCCACTGTTTTTAGCTTTTGACATTTTTTTCTACAGCCAATAAACTCACCAGCATGTTATCCTATGTGTCCATGCACACACAGACTGTAATCAGCGTTTTTTGGCAGGGGCGTTTTTTGGCTAGAAAAACCCCCCAGAACTGGTTTCTAGAGGAGTTTGTTAGCTGTAAAAATGCTCTAATGCTGAAAAACTTTGTAAAACACAGCAAACTGGTGTTCTTGGACTTTTTTTGAGCAAAAAAATAAACATATTTGGTAAAAAACCGCTAAAAAACATGGCAAAATGCTAATGCAAAAACGCTAAAAAACTCACGTTTTTAACATGACATTACACAGCTAACGCTACCAGCATTATGAAAATGCCCAGTGTGCATGGAGCCTAACACACAGTGTTTAGCTGTTCTAAATGCAGAAGTCATATGGGAAGTAGAAACAACTTTTTTTATTCCCAGATAATTTTTCCTGCGTTCAGATGTTCCTGCTTAAGGCCCAGTTCACACTGGCATTAGATATTTGCGGGATGTTTTTACCGCCTTAGAACACCTAACAAAGCAGCCTACAATAGATAATATGGATGGTGGACAGAAATGTTCACATCTGAAAAATGTACTGTTTGCATTGCTTCGTTTTGCTCTGTGGCAAAAATTAAGCTACATGTTGAGTCTCAAAGGAGTTGAAGCTTGTCAACTCCTTCCATTCAAGTCTATGGTGATGTGCCATTAACACTCCTGCAACATTTACAATGTCTACTGTGCTTTTGACAAGCATTTATCAAATATCAGTGAGGTTAAAAAAAAACACTTCCCCTTAAAGTAGAATTAAAGGCAACACTTTTTTTTAGTGGTTTGTGTAGCAATTGTGCACACAGAGATGGACGTGGTCATCCATCTTGCTAAGGATCCTCTATCTTGTATCTCTCTCCCTCCAATCCCCCCTCCCTCTCTGTTGAGTGACAAGTGGTACCTGTGTGCTGGGTTCAGAAGTGCACAGGCAATCAGGCACAGCGGGACAGCTTCATGGTTATAAATCCCAAATTAGCTGGTGCCCGGGTGTCTGTTAGCTTCTCAATTTGAGATAATCGTAAAGCCATAAACCAGTCCTTCACTGGGCTTCAAACGCATTCCAGCTAGCCATAAAACAGACATCACATTTAAAACCCACTTTTCCCTATAATTTCATATCTTAAGGTAGGAAATAATTATATGAAAATAAAGCACATATTCGGATAGCTCAGCTTAATGCGAGTCGTCTGATATCTTACAGCCCTGGATTACGTATACCCGACCTGGATTACGTATACCCGAGAGCAGAAAGTGATATCTCCTTAACTGTCCCAAGCAGATATGTCATAACTGGTATCTGGATGTTCAGAATATCATTCTGCAGATTATCCTACCCGTGGATGGAATGTTACATGTACCTAGGGAAGGTTATTGACCCTGGTATAACTTGGGAGGGATTTTGGTTCTAGCCTGAGTCCCCCGCCTCAAACACCCCTCCCCAAATGAGGCGATTGGTTCTCTGCTGTAAGGAGACACCCTGCTAAGTTCCTAGAAAAAGGCTGTCAGGTTTGGAGAAGTTGAAGAATTCTCCCTTTTAACATCAGAACCAACTTGGGAGACGGTACCCTTTTGCTCTGAAACCTGATCTGCTGAACCCAGGACTTTTGGCAAGTACTCTACCTCTCTAAACTTCTTTCTGTTATTTCTTTGCTGTGTTATTGCTCTCTGTATTTATATATATATATATATTGGCTACATCTTTTTCTGTAAATATTTTTATTGCACCCTTTTGACCTTTTTAGTAATAAATCCTATTTTCTGAAGTGTTGAACTGTTTCTAAAGTTTCTTTAATGCAAACTAAGAATCCCTGTCTCTGAAGAGCGCTACTGTGGGTTTTAAACCTCTATATACCTCTGCCTGCGGTGACAGTGGTATACAGACGATTATTCAAACATCATAGTGTTAGTGCTAATATTGGCAAGTTTCCTCCTTTTCTCTACTAAAAGGCGGTGGTGGCAGTGTGAAGGGTTAATTGCGTAATTAACCTGACTCAGTAACAATCGCTCTCAGGCTGCAGGTGCATAGATTGTGGTCCATTAGCTGGAAAATCTTTGTGCAGGGTGCAGCTGAGCGTGGTATTGTTATGCACGTGACAGTGCCGTTTTAGATTGGCTAGTCCTTCAGTCACGAGTTGGTGAGAAGGGCTAGGGTCTGATGCTGCGATCGTCACAGTTTGGATAGAGTAAGGGAGGGTCGTAACACATGTCAGTTAATGTTTGCCATTCTTGTCCCATTGGGGAGATTTCCATTCACTTCCTCTCCAATAACCAATACAGAACATGAGAGGAAATCACTCTAAAGTGAGGGAATCCCAGACTGTCACCAGAATTTCCCCATTGGAAGATTTACCCTTTATTCCTATTCTGGTGACAACCCAGCAATGATAACAGGCTGGACACCTAGGATATATATATAATATATATATATATATATATATATATATCTCACCAGACTTTAAAAGATAAGTTCACCTTTTGTAACATGTTACACCCATATTCAGGGTGTAACATGTTACGATCTGACCAGCCCCCACAAGTCCCCAACACCCGCTGTGACAGCTAGTGGGGGATCTTCTCCCCCCTTGCTAGCTGTCACAATTTTTAAAAATCTGTGGCTGTGTGGGACTCCGCCCACATATTTATTCACAGCATTCTGTGAATAGGAAAACTACAAATCTCGGCAGCCTTTGTGGCTGTCTGCTTGTAATTTTCAATGAACTACCACAGCGCTCCACAGTACAGTGGTAGTTCATTGAGCCTTCCTGTCAGTAGTATCTGCTTGCTTATACATCCCGTACACTGACAGGTCAGCGGGAGGCCTGCATGGCATCAGCGATCTGCTAATAGCTGGTGCAATGCTTTAGATCGGGGGGGCAAACTCCATTTCATTGCGGGCCATATCAGTGTTATGGTTGCCTTCAAAGGGTTGGTTGTATATGTAAGACTAGATGTCTAGTGCACCCCACCCCCCATTACATCAGATGTCAAGAATCCCACAACCTCCCTAACATCACCATGCACCCCCTTTGGGGACAGAGCAGGAAAGCAGAAAGTGCAGGGTCTGGAGGAGGACCAGAGGAGGAATTAAGTCAGTTACCAGAGTCTGCTGAGACCAGGGGAGGCAGAGATGAGGGGATACTGCAGCTCACTGAGAGGTGCAGGATTTGGCAGAGGAGTTCTATTCTCCTCTCTGCTGTTGATTGCTGAGACAAGGTGGGGGCAGAAACAAGGGGGTACCTGCAGAAGAGGTGCAAAGGCCACATGAAATGACCTGGATGGCCGGCTTCGAGCCTTGTGTTTGACACCTGTGCTTTAGAGGCTCCATAAACAAAAATAATGAATGCACATTTTTTTACCTGCTAAAAAAAGTGCATTTATTACATTTTGTTAAAATGTGAACTTATCCTTTAACCCCCTTGACTTCTTTTTGGGGGGGGTATACTAAAGGAGAAGATGTACTCAATGAAAATCATGAAGGAATGTGTTCAAATTGATAGAAATGTGGACTTACTGCATTGGGTTTATGTGAATCTTGCAAAGCGCATGGAACTTTGCATTAAAAATGGTGGAAATCACATTGAAGATGTAATTAACCGCCTCCCGCCCGCCATATAAGGGAATGACGGACGCAAGGTGGTTCTCTTGTTCTGGGAGGATGTCATATGACGTCCTCCCACTCTAACCGTGCATGCGCGGTTCCGGGGGCACACAGCGTGGAGATCGGTGGTGCACTGTGTCCCTGGGACACAGCGGATCACCGATCGATGGAAAGAGCCGAAGACGTCGGCTCGGTCATGTGATCAGCTGTGTCCAATCACAGCTGATCACATGTAAATAGGGAAATGACGGTTATTGGCATTTCTCTCCTCACGAGCTGTCACGCTGACAGCTCGTGAGGAGTGGAGAGCCGGTAATCGTCATTCCTCAGAGGGGACATGTACACTGAACATCAGGTCACTGATGATCAGTGTAGCCCCAGCAGTGCCACCTGTCAGTGTCCATCAATGCCAACTGTCAGTGCCCATCAATGCCACACAGCAGTGCCTACCAGTGCACATCAATGCCACATATCAGTACCCTTGTGAGCTGCCTTTCAGTGCCACCTATCAGTGCTGCCAGTCAGTGCCACATATCAGTGCTGCCAGTCAGTGCCATCTATCAGTGCCAATCTGTGCCGCCTATCAGTGCCGCATATAAGTACCCGTCAGTGTTGCCTATCAGTGCCAATCAGTGCTGCCTAACAGTACCAGTCAGTGCCACCTATCATTGCCAGTCAGTGCTGCCTATCAGTGCCATATATGAGTGCTGCCTTTCAGTGTCCATCAGTGATGCCTGTCAATGCCCATCAGTGCCACCTACCAGTGCCTCATCAGTGCCACCTATCAGTGTCCATCAATGCAGCCTATCAGTGCCCATCACTGCAGCCTCATTAGCGCACATCAGTAAAGGAGAAAAATCACTTCTTTACAAAATTTTATAACAAAAACTAAGAAAAAACTTTTTTTTTTTCAAAATTTTCAGTTGTTTTCGGTTTGTTTAGCAAAAAATAAAAACCCAGAGGTAATTAAATACCACCAAAAGAAAGCTCTATCAATCTCAAAAAAATGATAAACATTTCATATGGGTACAGTGTTGCATGACCGCGCAATTATCATTCAGAGTGTGACAGCGCTGAAAACTGAAATGTGGTACTGGGTAGGAAGGGGGTATAAGTGCCCTGTAGGCTAGTGGTTAATATTCCAATGGAATAAAATGTTGAAAAAAATGTGAAATTTGCTGAACTATGCATTTCATTATGTAACCAGTCTTTAGAGACACCCTGTAAATTGGTAAAAATAAACAATTACAATCTATATATTGCTTGAGGTGATTGTAGCCATATTAGTGCATTTGCGGCAGAAACAATTGAGTACTGTCCGTGATACTTTTTTTATTTGCACTAACAAACAATTTTGAGGACGAGCTTTCCCCGGGGAATGTCCCCTTCTTCAGGTCAAAGCAGTACTGATCACAAAGGTAAGGTAGTATCTTTGTGATCAGTACTGCTTACAAAGGTAAGGTAGTATCTTTGTGATCGGTACTGCTTACAAGGGTAAGGTAGTATCTTTGTAATCAGTACTGCTTACAAGGGTAAGGTGGTATCTTCGTGATCAGTACTGCTTACAAAGGTAAGGTAGCATCTTCGTGATCAGTACTGCTTACAAGGGTAAGGTAGTATCTTCGTGATCAGTACTGCTTACAAAGGTAAGGTAGCATCTTCGTGATCAGTACTGCTTACAAGGGTAAGGTAGTATCTTCGTGATCGGTACTGCTTACAAGGGTAAGGTAGCATCTTCGTGATCAGTACTGCTTACATCTTTGTGATCGGTACTGCTTACAAAGGTAAGGTAGTATCTTTGTGATCGGTACTGCTTACAAGGGTAAGGTGGTATCTTTGTAATCAGTACTGCTTACAAGGGTAAGGGTGTGTATCTTTCGTGATCAGTACTGCTTACAAAGGTAAAGGATCAGTACTGCTTACAAGGGTAAAGGTAGTATCTTCGTGATCAGTACTGCTTACAAAGGTAAGGTAGTATCTTCGTGATCAGTACTGCTTACAAGGGTAAGGTAGTATCTTTGTGATCAGTACTGCTTTAGTAAGTACTGCTTACAAAGGTAAGGTAGTATCTTTGTGATCAGTACTGCTTACAAGGCTAAGGTAGTATCTTTGTGATTAGTACTGCTTACAAGGGTAAGGTAGTATCTTCGTGATCAGTACTGCTTACAAGGGTAAGGTAGTATCTTTGTGATCAGTACTGCTTACATAGGTAAGGTAGTATCTTTGTGATCAGTACTGCTTACAAGGGTAAGGTAGTATCTTCGTGATCAGTACTGCTTACAAGGGTAAGGTAGTATCTTTGTGATCAGTACTGCTTACAAGGGTAAGGTAGTATCTTTGTGATCAGTACTGCTTACAAGGGTAAGGTAGTATCTTCGTGATCAGTACTGCTTACAAGGGTAAGGTAGTATCTTCGTGATCAGTACTGCTTACAAGGGTAAGGTAGCATCTTCGTGATCAGTACTGCTTTCAAAGGTAAGGTAGTATCTTCGTGATCAGTACTGCTTACAAGGGTAAGGTAGCATCTTCGTGATCAGTACTGCTTACAAAGGTAAGGTAGTATCTTTGTGTGATCAGTACTGCTTACAAGGCTAAGGTAGTATCTTTGTGATTAGTACTGCTTACAAGGGTAAGGTAGTATCTTCGTGATCAGTACTGCTTACAAGGGTAAGGTAGTATCTTTGTGATCAGTACTGCTTACATAGGTAAGGTAGTATCTTTGTGATCAGTACTGCTTACAAGGGTAAGGTAGTATCTTCGTGATCAGTACTGCTTACAAGGGTAAGGTAGTATCTTTGTGATCAGTACTGCTTACAAGGGTAAGGTAGTATCTTCGTGATCAGTACTGCTTACAAGGGTAAGGTAGTATCTTTGTGATCAGTACTGCTTACAAGGGTAAGGTAGTATCTTCGTGATCAGTACTGCTTACAAGGGTAAGGTAGTATCTTTGTGATCAGCACTGCTTACAAGGGTAAGGTAGTATCTTTGTGATCAGTACTGCTTACAAGGGTAAGGTAGTATCTTTGTGATTAGCACTGCTTACATAGGTAAGGTAGTATCTTTGTGATCAGTACTGCTTACAAAGGTAAGGTAGTATATTTGTGATCACACTGCTTACAAAGGTAAGGTAGTATATTTGTGATCAGCACTGCTTACAAAGGTAAGGTAGTATATTTGTGATCAGCACTGCTTACAAGGGTAAGGTAGTATCTTTGTGATCAGTACTGCTTACAAGGGTAAGGTAGTATCTTTGTGATCAGCACTGCTTACAAGGGTAAGGTAGTATCTTTGTGATCAGCACTGCTTACATAGGTAAGGTAGTATCTTTGTGATCAGCACTGCTTTGTGATCTCTGTGATCAGCACTGCTTACAAAGGTAAGGCAGTATCTTTGTGATCAGCACTGCTTACAAAGGTAAGGTAGTATCTCTGTGATCAGCACTGCTTACAAAGGTAAGGTAGTATCTCTGTGATCAGCACTGCTTACAAAGGTAAGGTAGTATCTTTGTGATCAGTACTGCTTTGACCTGAAGAAGGGGACACTCCCCGGGGAAAGCTTGTCCTCGGACAGTACTCAATCTATATATTGGAAAGCATTGTGCACACCGTGCACAGTAGTGTATCGATCTGAAGCCCCTAGCAGAGCTGACACATACAGAAGTGCTTCTTGGCAGATGCTTTATATGACGTCACATCCCAGCTCCAGCAGTTATGATTTTATGACGTTAGCAGTGTTTCTGTTATCCCCCCTCCTCCTTCCCCCACACATGTCAACCGCTGTCATCCGCCTCCTCCCGTTCTGAAGGCTCGGACCATCTCAGCTGATGCCTTTGTCTAGGAGACGGGCTGTGCGCATGCGTAGCGGCTGCGGGTCATCTGTCCTGTGCGGGCCTCCGTACAGCGCTCTGTTGTCAGTGGAGAGCGGCGCCCGGTGACGGGTACTGATGGGGGAGACAGGTGAGTGAACAGAGCGGGGCCCCCCAGGGGCAGGGTTATGGGGGACGTATCGGCGGAAGACGTTTTGTCGGATTTGGCTGCTGTCCCTGGTGCTGGGGCCTGTCACTGAAGAGAAGCCTGGCCTCTCCTCCTCCCCTTCAGTGAGCTCGGGGCCTGCACCGCCCCCTCTCGGCCCGGCTCTCCTGTGCTGTCATTCCCGGAGCTCCCTCCTGTCACTTCTCCTCAGCATCCCTGCCTGCCTGGAGCGGACCGTTATGTGGAGGGCCTGTGTTATGTATGGTGGGCCTCACACAGCCCGGGCAGGTCTGTTTACTGGCCGTTATTGTTTACGGTGCAGAAGAGACGGTTGGGCTCCCTGTGATGGGTAGTACGGACATCTTATATATCATATACCTGACGGCACAGCCTGTCTGACAGTCCCCCGTCCCCCATCACTTTGTATGTGTGCGGTGTGCCCTGACAGCTCAGGAGGTCTTCCTCTACCCCCCCAGTACTCTTCCGGCAGGTGCTTCTCAGCACTGGGACCACTCGGGTAAAATGCACAATCACTTTTCAGTAGTCTAGATCTTTAACCATTTTGCTGCCTTTTTTTTTTTTTTTTTTTTTTTTTTGCACACACGTTTGAAAAATCATTTCAGGCCTGAACATTACTTAAGCACTTGCCCTCCAGAGGATTTCCTGACCAGGCCATTTTTTGCCTTACGGCGCTGCGTTACTTTAACTGACAATTGCGCGGTCATGCAACGCTGCACCCAAATGAAATTTGTGTCCTTCTTTTGCCACAAATAGAGCTTTCAGTGGAATTTGATCGCCTGTGCGGTTTTTATTTTTTGCGCTATAAACAAAAAAAAACGCCAATTTTGATAAAAAAACAATATTTACTTTTTGCTTTTAACCACTTGGTAACCGCGCTATAGCCGAGTGTCATATGATGTCCTCACAGAACGCGCCCTCACGCGTGCCCCCATTGGTGCGCACCTGGCGATCTCTGTAATTGCTGGGTCCTACGGACACAGCTGATCATGTGATCACAGTGGACTCTTACCACGTGATCAGTTGTGTCCAATGAAACATGGGTGAACAGGCAGGATTTTATTGCATGCTATGTCCCTTGTGCATGAAAGTTGTGTATCTGTCTGTCAGAAGTGACTCATGTTGGTAGCAGAGGAACAAGGCAGCGGACAGAAATTACACTTGCAGTACATACAAATGGCAACCACCCCAACCTATAACTGGCCTTTGCAGCAAGGAGCACAAAGAAGAGCGATGCTTGTCAATAAAAAACAAACAAAATTTCCCAACTCACTTACAAGCCAGTCTGCAACAAACTGATTTAATCCTGTCTAACAGTTAACGTTAAAAGAAAGGGTTTAGTTTGCACACATTTTCAAATATATGTATAAGCTGCAGAGGCCACGTCACTGCACCCCAGTGTACTGCAGTCCTAACTCTATACATTCTATGATCAACTGAAAAAAAAATGACTATAATGATAATTGACTTCAGTGCAAAAATGCCCCCTATTGACTTCAGTGCAAAATTGCACCCCATTGACTTCAGTGCAAAATTGCATCCCATTGACTTCAGTGCAAAATCGCATCCCATTGATTTCGTTGCAAAATCGT